AGTGGAGAATGGTATAAATTCAATAGTCATCTCAAATCCCTTATAACGGAACCAAAAGTGTCTATAGAACGTAAAGATCTTGAACCTATTCATTTAAAAGATTACTCTGCATTTATGGTCACAAGCAACCAGGATGCTCCACTTAAAATAGATGCAGGAGATGCTCGTATAGTTTGTTTTGACGTATCTGCACGCTGTAGAGGGAATATACCATATTTCAAATGTTTGGCTAAAATACTAGAATATCCAGATGCACCAGGGATAGTTATGTCTTATCTTATTAATCGTGATCTTTCAAATTGGGACCCACAAGATATTCCCAGTACTAAAATGAAAACAGATACAATATTGGAGCATCTTCCCAACCCCACACGATTTATAATTGATCGTATTTCGTCATGGTCTGAGGATCGAGTTGAGATACAAAGTCGTATGATATTATATCAAGAGTATCGGGTGTGGTGTGAAGCTAATGGTGAGAAACCATTTAGTAATAATATATTAGGTAAAAAATTTACACAGATTAATATCGAAAACAAACGTGCTGGCGGTGGAAAAAGAGAATGACAGTATATTCTCGACCGCTCAAAAATTCTAGCCAAGTTACGTGAATCGGTAGGTGATATTGAGAAATTTTCCGACGTACCTCAAGCTGAGATATCCTCTAATGCGTCCACAGAAATTCCTGTATTCAACGTACCTGAAGTCTGCGAAGCGAGAAACTTCGTTTCTAAAACTCCCGAACCAGAAAAAGTAGACCCCATTCCATTAAGCATTGAAAAAGACAAGAATTCATTACCTGCTCCTATCACTAATATGAGTCAGGTTCTCTTCGATTATATAACAGGTCAAGAAAAAAAATCAATTGATTCGTCATCACCATCCGAGTCTACCAATATATTCATGACTCCAGAGATCGAACACGTAGAATCATCAGACGATAAATCTGTTGTCATAGACAACGAGCTCTGCTCTAAATCTCCAGAAATTATCGAATCAGTGGAAAATGAACCCAATATTTCTCCCGACTTACCTGCAAATTATAAATCCGAACTCAGCAACAATGAAGTCAACAACCAATCGAAAACATATTCACCTGGATATATACCCCGAGCAGAAAGGAAAAAATATCTCAGGCAATGGGCAGTCGATCACGGCGAAGATCCAGATAAGTTCGTTACTATTACTGAAAAAGATAGGAATTTAGCATATACATACCATGATAGATTATGTTCAGATGCAGACATGATCCAATTCGCAAAAGATACTGATAATGACCCAAATACATTAATGGACATGTCTAGACGAGAACGATTAATAAGTGAGGAAATTATGCTCTGATTGTATGAAGACGATGACAACCCCCAAGCAAAGAGTTATGATGATGAGGAATGGATAGAAAAAATAATGATACTCCAGGAAAATGGATATCTATGGTAAGATCACTATACATACTAAGATGAATTTCGCAGGTAGGAGGGATTTTTTGCTCCTACAAACTAGTCAATATAAAAATTTTCAGATGAAAAATATTACGCAAACTTTGTGTTATATACTGGTTTTTGTGATGCCTAAAATGCTATTTGGTAAAATTTTAGTCAATACTTCATTCCTACTTTGATTTTAAATATGAAAGTGATAATAGAATAGTATAGCCACTTTGTGAATTGAAAATGCCTTGTAATTGGTTATTAGTCGGAGATATCCATTTATGTAAAAACCCAGCGAGAGGGGAATATTGCGTCCCCCATGCATTCAAAATTCGAAAGGGTATAACAATTCCCCAACCATGTAAAGGATGTGGGCGAGGGACTAAATCGAGTGTTCAGCTTTGTATATCATGTGGACAAGGTAGGGAAAGAGCGTATAGATATTATGTGTCAAAGACACGAGCTTCGCTATAAACAGAAGAATGTAAAAGAAACTCTACGCACTTAATTTCTATACCTGTGAAGCAAATTACTAGATAAGTATTATCATTAATTTTTTCGTATATAATCCAGGTCTTTGAATTAAACTTATCATTTTTATAAGTAACAATTAACTATTATCATTTTCATAACTAGTAACTCCCAATGGAAACACACCAGAAAGTAGTCAACTTATTAACCAAAAGAGAGATTGATCACAACGGACCAACATTCCGCAGACTAATGTGCAATGGCTTCAGGTACGTAAAAGATTTAGCCGAATTTTTACAATTACCAGATGCAATTGATTATTATTATCCTGAGCAAATTAGATTCATGAATGCTCTGTCCCACCTGGCTATGATACCACCGATTGATATAATGGAAAACAGACCAGATATTTACAAAAAATGGTCCATAAGTATAGAAACATACCGGAATCTATTCCAAGCATTGTAAAAAATAAAACGATAAAACTGAATGATATTACTATAGCCTGGATCACAACTCCAAAGCTATAATTTTTTTTCGTTATATCCTATATATTGGTAACTTTCAAATCGACAAATTTGACCCAAAGTATTGACGTGTATCATATACCTGGCATATATAGATTAAAACTTTTGATCGAACTCGTGTCTTGTTCGCGTCCATTTTCAGATAGAATTACAATAATCACGACCCATTCAATTTTTGGGTATAGCTATCCACGGATAATTAATTTCGAATTGAAAAAATATTTTCCATAGTGTATATAACCTAAAGAATTACTCATAACCTACCCAACTTACTATAACATTAGATCATGTCAGCTATCGTAACTAAAATCGTTGAAAAATACAATCTCAGCTCTGAGATGAGTGTGACTAATCTCAGTCAATACACCTCAGAGTTTCTCGAGAATCTAACTGATGATAGAAAGCGGAATCAGGCATGCAGACACCTTCGGGATGGTTTTAACTTTAGCAGTGAACAGGTAGGTGTATTAATACCTAATCAGAGGGGTGGGAAAAATAAAACTATAAATTTAGTTGAAGGTAATTATAGAATAACTGTAGTTAAGCCTCCAAAAAGTTTGGAAGAAGAGATCATCAGAGAGATAACTAAACGAATCTTACAGAATAGATATGGTTTTAGTAAAGACCAAGTGGATGACTTATTCTCTATTCAGAAAAATGTCCAAACCAAAAGCAAAACCATGCGCGAAGTGAACATTGTTATTTCTAAGAGACAAAGTCTCCTTTCTTCGAAAGATCGGGTCCCACAAGAAACAATCGGAGATATGACGCAATGGATTTTACGGAATAAACTTAGTATTAGAGATGTAAGGGCCGAAGCTTACGCCTTAGTCCTATCAGCAAAAAATGCTAATGCTGGTTCATCACGTCTCTCTTGTCTTCGTAGAGAATTAAAAAATCTTGGTGCTTCATTCCAAATAATTGAGGCCACGAAATTCCCAGATATTACAGAAGAAGCTAACAAAATCCAGAGGGATAATCAGAAAAAGGCTGAAGCTAATCGTATTGATTATCCAGATCATTTTACATTAGAATCGGTCAAAGAGAGATTGGATAGTTATGATACATCTACTGTACCCGATGTACAAGCTCTTGTAGATGTTATGATAATGCTTTGTATCCGTCCCGCTGAACTTATAACTTTACGTATTACAAATGCCGGAGTAACAGGTTATGCGAAGAATCGAGGTCAGGCAAACATTCCTCGAAAATTTAGATCTATGGAGAAGAATCAAGAAAGAGCCAAAGAATTACTCACCTGGATTCAGCGTGCAATATCTTCTGGCTGAATGGGTAATCCAGGTAAGCCAGGAGTTAAATGATTCAATAAATTCTTAAAAGACTATGGTTTAATTCCCAAATACTTACGTAAATTGGGAGCAGTTTATGGTGCAGTAGTACATGCTGAAAATCCAGCACATTTTATGACAATAGCTGGAGAATGTCTACGGCACAGCCCATACACCCACACTTCTCCAGTACAAAACTACGTTGTAGTAAACTACAGAATGCGCGGACAAAAACCCGAAGAAGCGAGACCATTTCAAATCTATGATGATGGTAATTAATTATGCTTCTTTGCTTTCACCATTCTCACAGTAAAATCTTTATTATCATTGGACGATTCAAAGTCAGAATCGGAACCAGATTCAGATGAAGACGAGGACTCAGATGAGGTATCGTTAAAAATTAATTTTTTTCTTTTAGCCTTGCATGGTGTATGATTTCTTCGAGGGATATCTGGGTTTGCTATCAAGTTTATAAGTTCTTGACGAACCTCGGGTTTTATTATCTCCAGTAATTGGTGAAGAGAAATCCGGATTTTTTTATCCAATACTTGCCTACGAATACTGGATATTACTCCAATAGTATTCTGATGCTCTGTTAAGGACTTGGTTACTGTTTCGATACATTCACATAATTCTTGAGACAAGATAGCATTAGCTATGTCAGCTCTGCTGATATTATCTTTAACAATTGCTTCGTTTATCGCAGACTTGCTATTAGCTTCAGTCATTGTAAATGCGAATTATTATTTATTAATACGAATTTAAAAATGCAGAATTAAATATATTCGTTATAATAAAGCACCACTATAAGAATTTTATCTTGCGAAATTAACAAAGTACCAGTTAAAACTATACTAGATACCGCCAGCAATTGTAATCTTATAGGCAGGGGTTTAGTAGATGTACTAGGCTTAGAGATTGATACTTCCCATAAAGAAGAAGCAAAACTATTAATCCCTTTTCCATCTGAAAAATCGCTGATGCAATAGCATCCTCACATTGTGAGACTATAGAAGATAGCATGACAATATTGGGAATGGTTCATAAAATAAATCCCTCTTTCCGGTCTCACCCACCTCTACATATTCCACTCTTTGCAGGTTAATCATTAGATAGAACAGATTTTATTTTTGCAATCAATAATTATATCAAAGAGACTGTCATAATTATTCCTAATCATTCATCATTGGTTACAAATAATTATATTTAGTAGCGAAGAATGGATAATTACTTACTGAGTTATTTTTTTCAGCTATAATATACATCGTGTAATATAACTTAGTATGAAAGTAAAGATAGTCAAAGCTAAAGTAGGAATGCAAAATGTTAATTGTCACCTTGAACCAGGATTTTTGGGAATCTCTATGTGTACTGATAAACTTCTCAAGAAAATCGGTGGCAAAATTAGCAGAAAGTTGACTCCCGAAGAGAAAGATAATAAATTCGTCAGAGAAGAAACCACAGCTCCACTTGGATTGGCCATAATCCCACTTACATTTACCTCTAACATAAAAAATAATGTCCGTCTTAGTAATAAAAAATCTATCACGATTCCAACTGAAGTACTCGTAGAAAAATATAACTCTACATTGCCTAATTATATCCTGATCGGTAATAATTGGTTCTATGGTCGCAAATGCGATAATGATGAGCTCCAGACTTATCTACCGGAAATAGTGACAGACGTAGAAAATGCTTGGGTAAGAACAACTCTGCGTATCAAGGATCTTAGCAATGCTAGCTTCGCTAAAACCAAAAAGAAGCCAAGGGTTATAGTATCCGTTGATAAAAGAAATATTCATGATTTTTACAAATCACTTCCTGGGGAATCGAAAGATTCATTGCTCCACAGATCCAATATCTCTGTAACTTCTGATTTGGGCACTTCAGATTTGGATACTTCTTTCAATTCAGATACTTCGGACAGCAATTCAAGTAATTCTTCCACATCTAGTTCGGGAATAGAAGTTATACATGCGTATAAGACTGAAGTGGTAAAGAAATACCCTATTTGAAAGTGTAAAGTAAAAGGTAAAATTAATTATCGAGCTTTATAGTGGAGCTAGTGTCTCTGACACATATTAATACATCCAACGTAAATCACATCACGCCTCGAAAAAGCGATGTCACGAGTGATCGACATGGAAGTTCGTGAAACATGCATAATTGTGTAACTGTACTACATAGATAATCATTATTTTTTTCATTTAGGAAAACGTCTTTCTTCCACACATGCTTTTGTGATAAGGCACGTGAAAACGAAGCTCCAAAACGTTATAGGAGGAAAGGCTCGATAATATCTATTAATTTTCATAACAAAAACCTCAAGTTATGGGAGTTTGAAATTTCCGCGATTCCAGATCGTTGTTGCGTTAACCATTTTTCGTCTTGCAGGAGCGATCTCAACCCTAAAGGGAATGAAACCCCCAAAAATTGCGTAATATATTCATAAGTCACTTCTTTGTTGAGTTCTTGGCATTATGAACTAGCTACACAAGGTAAGGAATCCGTTAATTTTGGAAGCATATTAGCAGATGACCGAACGATGCAATATTATTTTTCTTCTAGCAGGTTCGAGGTTGAACATAATGAGTGTTATAAATAAGCAGAGTTTTCTGACGCTTTACTTTGAATCAAAGATTCCAGCTTTGCAAGTCAAATAATGCTTAGGAACCTTTTTTCACGTAGTATCAGGTATGTATCTGGGATGAGATGTTCTTCCATAATTTATACATAGTAATTCTGTAATTCTGAATAGTACTTCATCTATACGAACACAAAATGTCTGAGACTGCTGACATCTTCCCTATTAAGTTTAAAGTCCGTGATGATCCAGTCGAAAAAACTTTCGCAATTGATATTCCCCGGAAAGACAAAGTTAGCGACGTCAAAGAAAAAGTGAAGAGTAAACTAGCTTCTCGATTGAAAGAAAAATCGGCTGAAGACATTAATCTTTATGTGGAGTATCCTATCAATAGTGTGTTAAAGCCTCTACAGTTGGAGGAAAACTTTTTTAAAGATTTTGATCTTGTGCATACCGACGATATCGTTATTATCATTATCATTATCGTAAAACCCCCTCCTTTCAAAAAATAAAATTTTTAATCAGTATACAACGATTACCCAATCAAGATTAGGCAACTGATAATGCATCGTTCTATATCTGGGATAATCGTTACATAATCTATTTCGGGTGTTAAATTTATTTCAGGATAATCATTGCATTGTATGATCTATTTCAGGGTTAAATCTATTTCGGGTGTACTACAAACATCGTGTATATGGTTTAAGGATGTACGACTCATCACTTAATCATGTGTCTGATAAATAATGAAAAAGCAACATCTTTATTGAGATAAATATAAAATATATATAACGAAATCTAGTTGTCATATCGTGAAGTGGAAACTGTAGTACTATCTTCTTTCTGTCTTTCTGATGTAATTACTGATGCGTGATATAACAAAGATAAGTTAGTAATTATTATATTTCGTAAAATCAACAAAGTTTCTATAAATTTAGATACGACTCTTTCGTCTGATAATCGTACAGGAATTTCAGCAAATTGAAGATGGTAATATCTGGGTATATTGACTTTATCCCAAACAAGAGCGTTCAAGTGTAATATATTTTCCGCTACTTGTATCCTTACAATACCAAACTGTTCTTTAGCGGGGTTGAGACTCTGACGTACCCAACAAAGACCATCATTTGCCTCCCGCCACAATTTTATCTCATCATCCGTCTTTTTTTGTGGGATACAAAATAAGCGGGAACATTTGATATACATAAGTTTGAAGATCGTTTCGAAATAATTTCACAGGAACATAATATCCGGGCGCCTTCCCTTATTTCCTCCTTTTCTATTCGCACTGGCAATGCTTTGCTTTTCTGATGTGCTAACAAAAAATGGGTTTTCAGTAAGAAGATTTTTTAAAACAGCCTGAATTGTAGTTACAATAACGGTTGATTGGTATGTTCCTTCATTTACGGATCTTGCGAGATCAGAATTGAACGCCGGATTATTCCAAACATCTTTCAAAACGTTTAAAATTTCTTTAACGACACATGCGATGTCTTCATCGGATTCCTTCCAAGTTTTATCATGTGTCCATTTTGGCTTTGATGTTTTGTCACGCCTTTTAAAATCTTCTATGAATTTCTTACATATCTCTTGAACTATTGGCCTGGAATTTGGTACCATATTACGAGCAATTTTCTAATACAAAACATGCATGTAAATTATTAGTGATAAAAATACGTATACTTATATTAAATTCTTTACCATAAACCCCTTTTTTAAGTTCCCAGAAAGATTCTTCACGAGATCTGAATTGTCGCTGATAACCTGGCTTGCCAAAGGGTCTTCCCAGGATAATTCTTCGACACGTATCTTATTCACGCCGGAGTATAAATGTTGATAGAGGGGGCTTGTATCTCTGTTAAGTTTTCCTTTCAGCTTTTCTATATTATCCCTAATCTGATCTCGGTTAAGAGGTTTCTCCTTATTTGTTTTAACAACTCCAAGATCCTGTAAACTACAGACCCCCTCAAAAGCGATCTCAAACTAAAATAAAAATATAATGTATTAGTTTCAGTTATATCAAAAAACACATCATTAAAAAAATACATTATATATCAGTGCATATGCAAAGTTTCCATTTTCGTATGGCCACCACGTTGAATAGAACTTTGTGTGGTATTAAAAAAATAACTACATTTTAGTTAGAGACCCACCCTAAATGGCATAATATTCTGCAGGTGGTAAATTTTTCTCGTCAATAGGTTTCTAGGATGAACTACACTACTGCATAACAGTCTATAGCTTAAACATCCCTCC